TTGGTTATCTTCTCCTGGCCGTATCCGAACATCAAAACAGAAAACGGCTGATTGCATGTCTGAATGTTGCCTATTTCATCCACAACAATGAGTCCACTGAGATTCTGGAATACCCAGACAGTTATGTTGAAGCACGTGTTGCTGGTGTACGTCGTCGAAGCATTCGGCTCCGGTGTAGTTAGCAGCAGGCACAGAGGGAATTTCACATTGTCCGTGGTGCGTCCGGTGGCTCTTTGCTTGCGCAGTCCCTTCGATATCTCCCTGCTGTCCGGATCTGGGAGCTTTATGAAAGGTATCAGCGTGGTGATGTTCACTCCAATGACATCCTCGGTGGAGTAGTATAGGAATATTGTTGCAGTGGCAGCATCGGCCATGGTTATCGCACCGAAGCGGTCAATACTTATTTGGCAAATGTGTCGCTGGACCGGCTCGGCGACCGCTATGTTTCGTCCCTCGTTGTCTATTTGTCGAATCCAGAGCGAAACCAATATCTTGGTGTTCTGCTTTGTCTTCATTTCTATCACTTTGCCGCTGAGCAGGACGACTCTGCCCTCATCGACATCAATTTGCATTTCCGCCAGTGAGGAAATGTGACTCTCCGATTTACAATTGAGTAAGTCGAAAAAGCTTTTGTTCCGCAATTCGTGGGACGTGTATCCCAACAAGTGGCACGCTTTGTTGTTCACAATGAAGATCTGTCCCGTGTTCGAGTCTATCGTAAATATAGCCTTGTTCGGGTTTATCACCTTTGAGGAATGTAGGTTGGGGGGCGGCATATTAAACGAGTTCGGATCCATCATATTTAAAATACTCGACGTGTCCTGATAAGAGCGGGAACAACTGAGCGTACTTTCGCCTGAAAATGCAAAAAAAAAACTAAATTTGCTCAAATAAAATGTACAATTGTTGCTGCCATTTCTTGCTAATTTCTAAAGTGATGCAAATGAAGAGCTTTGTCCATTTCTCAGGTTTAATTCTTAATGACAAAATCAAAACAAATGTATAGCTGCCATACCAGGGTCAATTTCATTATATGAAAGTGGGTTTATGGTTTACCATTTGTAGGTTCCACCATGCCGCATTGATCCTCCATTTATGGTTAAAACAGTTTCCAGCTTCTGCAAACTTATTGTAGAGTTTCGAAGCAGTCTACAGTAATATTTAAAAGAAAACACTAAAATCATGAGAACAACTGTGTTTATTACAAAAATCAATTGCTTGGCGCATGCGTACAAACGTTTCTCTAACGTCATACTGTCATTCAAATTGGTCACAAATACGTTCTCATTCGTTCCTTTTGGACTGCCAGAGTATTTCCAGCTTCAGTTAACGAAAAATACTGAAAAATGGTGCTGGGTAGTGCCATGAAGTAATTATGAAGGAGGTGGTGCCGTCGGCAAAAGTGCTCCACTATCTTTTCTGTTTGCAAGTTCGAGTGAAGGGGCTCTGCGCTGTAGGTGGGAGTGAAACGAAACTATCGTGTGATGGATTAACCCTATGATTGCACGGAGGTTGAAGTTGCCCATTACGAGAAAATGAGTTTAAGTTATTTTTTTTAATTTGATAGTTTAATAAGCTAGTACTTGATAGTAGTTGTTATTTGGGTTTTTAGTAAATAGTAGATTTAGTAGAAAAGTCATTTTCAGGCCGAACAAACCCGAACGCCGACCCGACAGAACCTCCTTATATAATTACTTCATGGGTAGTGCTATCGATAACCACCTACACACAGACACACACTAAGCTGGGCCTACGTATGTAAAATGTATCTCACAAATACACACATTACCCTAGGCGAACAGTTCTTCCACGTAGAATTTCTTTGTTTTAATTTACTTAAATAATATTAACACAACATAGAGCATAGAGACATATAAAAGGACGCACAACATGGCTCGAAAGATGGGAATCTCGGCGGCGCTTTGGTACATTTTGCTGGTCAATTTGATAAGTGTGTACGGCCTGGTGGACCAGGGACAGGGGGTGTACCGAAAAAATAGTTACGACTCCGCAACAGGCTCCACAGGATCTTTCCCCTTCCTGATGCCCATGGTTTCACCAAAAACTGTAAGTAGGCTGAAACTAAATTGTTTTTCTAGTGTCAAGTGCCATGTGGCTGGTCTTGGCTTGTGGCCTAATGACTTGTTTGTGCTGTGCCAATACCCCGATTATATGTGCATCATTTGTGTATGTATGTATGTAGGTATACTTCCATTCTACAGATGTCTACAATACCAATAAATTATGTATAAATGAATAAGTTATAAAGAGACACTACCATATGGTTGCTTCTGGCTGTGTGTGTATGTGTAGATACATACAAATAGGCTGCCATATGGAGTGCATTGAAACCTGTAGATTGCGTTTCGACGTGCCCTAGGACACGATTAGCAAATTGCGATGTGCGCTGTAGATGCATACAGATGTACATACATACAGATACATATTTATATCAAAGGAAAAAAAAGATGCGTTGGAAAATGAAGGCACTTTGCACTTGTAAGCACCCTTAGAAACTGTGAAAACTAATCCAAAAATCTTTTGTGTTTGTTTTTAATTACTAACATTTAGCCGGATTTGTACTTGTGCACTCCAATAAAAGTAGATCCAACTACCACATACTATATTGGTACGTCAAATAGTCATCAAAGTCTTTCCATTAAAACATTTTCTAATTTCATTTAATTACTAAAGTTGGCTTTAACCCGAATGCAACCATGAACACGGCGCACCATATGCTGCTGTACGGATGCGGCGAGCCAGGAACCACTAAAAGCACTTGGTGAGTTTTGTTGAGAACTTAGAACTTTAATTTCCAATAATGTATTTCTTTCCTTTGCAATCTAGGAATTGTGGCGAAATGGCCCAAGCAACGGCTGAGGAAAAGGCCAGCCCCTGTGGACCCCGTTCCCACTCTCAGGTACAGCTATAATTTTAGAACATTCTAACTCATAATTTAATTTATATTTATGTGAGATAGACTGCACTGCACTTGAGGCAGATGGGATTTCCGTTTTCTATGTCGAATATATCCGTCGTAATTCGGTGTCCGCAGCTGTAGCATTCGAAGCAGCGTGGGTGCCATTTCGTGTTCAAGGCCACTATGACATTCTTGTCAATGGTCTCCCCACAGCCGGCGCAACGTGACGAAAAGACTTCGCGAAAGTCACATTTACAGAACAGATATCCGTTCACTTCAAAGAATGTCGAAGATACCAGATTTTGACAGCATCCCACACACCTAAAGCACTCTTCGTGCCACTTGTGTCCCACAGCGGCAATGGCACGCTCCTTTATCACGTTGCCACAGGAATGACATCTGGGGGCATGCTTGCTCTCGTAGCACTCGTTGCACACCAGCTCGTTCCTGACAACATTAAACTGCGACTCGCCTATGGGCTTCTGGCATTCCGAACAAGTGAAGTGCTCCGGATGGTACATATTCCCTTCGCTGCATATAGCCTTGTCGTCTATTTCCTCGTGGCACTTGCAGCAGATTGTAGGGGCCATATTTCAAACACCTATGGGAAAGCCTCTTGACTACAGGTTAAATTTGTGCCTGGTTAACAACTTACAGGCTCAACCTTTGCAATTTCCAAACGGAGTTTTTAGAATTAAAATAATTTTCTTACAAATACCCAAGTAAATCTGAATTTTAGTGACTACTACGATAGTGTATTAATCTTTGTATTTGTTCTTTACTTTAGATCCTATATGCATGGGCGAGAGATGCTCAAAAGGTTATTTTGCCTGCGGGTGTTGGCTTCAAGGTTGGAAAGGACTCACCCACAAAGTATTTAGTGCTGCAAGTGCACTACGCACACATTGACAGATTCAAGGGTGAGTAAACAAACAAGTTTCCTCTTTGGAGAAGGCAGGAGGTAATCGAGTTTTTATTTTGGTTCGCAGATGGTTCCACCGATGACTCTGGCGTCTTCCTCGACTACACCGAAAAACCGTGAGCCCTATTTTTTACTGTTGTTTCTTCAATGCATGATATCATTATGTGCTCTCTTTCTCTCTCGCAACAGCCTTCAAAAGTTAGCTGGAACATTGTTATTGGGGACGGACGGAATCATTCCCGCACTGCAAACGGAACACATGGAGTCAGCTTGCGAAATAACTGAGAATAAAGTGCTGATTCCATTTGCCTATCGCGTGCACACTCACGAAATGGGAAAAGTTGTGGCTGGATATAGAGTGCGGTCGAATAGCGAGGGAATTCAAGAATGGGTTCAACTTGGCAAACGGGATCCGCTTACACCTCAGATGTTTTACAATGTCACGAACACCGAACCCATTATGAGTGGAGATCAGCTTGCCATTAGGTGCACCATCAAAAATACCCGTCATCGGATAACAGAGATTGGGTATGCAAAATCGTGCTTCTATCGACACGAATTACATATTTTCTTATCCTTTACAGCCCCACCAATGAGGATGAAATGTGCAATTTCTACCTGATGTACTACGTGGAACATGGGGACACTCTTGATATGAAGTATTGCTTTAGCCAAGGTCCGCCCTACTATTACTGGTCCAATCCCGACACTGGTCTACACAATATACCAAATATCGAGGCGAGCACTTTGTAATTTGGAAAAACTCTCATCATGCTGTGGATGTGGAATGTGCAAAATTAAAATTAAAGTATACTTATTTATTATCACAATTATTTGTATCGTGTAACCGCCCCAATGGATCATAGTTTAATCTCATAGTGTATTCTATTATGTTGGATGTTTCCTGTTGATTGATGATTGATGTGTGTTGCCACCAATGATTGATGTAAAATATATATACGTGTAAATAAACATATGTAGATACTTCGCAAGAATAATCGCATTCATAAGTAGTTCTTTACTTCAAGAAAAAAGAGCTTCAGCCAGGTCAAATATTTTCAATGCAAAGCATTTTATTGTTTTTCTTTTGTTTTCTGTTTTATGTATATACTCGTATATATATAGAATTTATGGAATATATATATATATAATTTGGTGTAAAATTACAAACGTATAATTATGCATAGTATTAGTTATAAATTACACAAAACTTAGGGCTATTTCTCACATTTTATAATAACTTGAAAAACTCGTATTTGTTAGTGTTAAACTCTAAATGACTACCAGTTGGCTGAGGCGGAAAGTCCTCAACTGTGAGAGCTAGAAGATCTCCGTTGTTATCATGTGCGGTGCAGTTGAGATCAATGTTTGTTTCAATTACATTTCCGGTGTAGTCTTGGTTTGTGTATGTACGATAAATGTTGATAGCGTCCGATTCAACGAAACTATTGCTTATGCTGCTGCTACAGAAGCCGATTTGTGGCGAATGGGAGGCGGTTAGTATGCTGCTGTCGCTGTCCTCGGCTGCCGACGGTATCGGATTGAAATCGTCATTTTGGAATGTGTGCCCGCCATCTCCCCCGTATGGAAGAGTGCTGTTATGTATCTCGATGTTCATTGTCACAGTTTGCGGTTGGACTTCGAATTCTACTTGGTGAGAGGACGAGTTGTCGCCACCGCCAGCATTGCAGTCTTCGGCAAAGCACTCGTGATTTTCAGGCACATACGGAGGTATTTGATGGCTGGCCGAATGCAAATTGGCATCGTTTACTATGTTGTCTTCCGAGTCGAACACGGGCTCAATGATATAATTGCTATCCGAGAAGCTTGCGTGGGACTCTATCACATTTAAAATGTGAGCATTGCTCCGATTGTTGTTGGCAGAGTTCACTTCCATCAGAGACTCGTCACAGAATGGCAAATACTCCCGGACACCGTCGCTGGCATTCATCAGTCCTGGTGCTGGATCCGATTGATTGTGCTGGTGGCTGTGGTGGCTGATGGACGAGGAGTTCACTTCCAGCTGGGAGTCCTCGTTGTCGGTGGAGCTGGCGAAATTTGGGAAATACTCGGCTAAATTCTCACGTTGATTGGCGGACAGATCCCGCAGTTGACCAGCACTTAGGTCTGAGTGTAGCTGTAGATCACAATCAGCATTGCTAGTTGTGTTCAGAGGTAAATATTCAGATGATTGATAGCTTAAAAGATTATCGGTTGACGGTAACATAATATCAACGGGATTGTGCTGCTCCATCGGAGCTTTCACAGTTTCATTTACATTAAGATTGTATTTAGGTTTCGAAGTATCACCCGTATTGTCACTATTTCTTATACGTTTCGAAACTGAACCAGTTTGACATGTAGAGGTAGATCTTTTGCTTTTCCGACCGGCAGTGGGTGTTCCATTAATTGCAATAGTCGCCAATGTGGCATTCTGTGTGTCATTTTTAATTTCGCTGCCATCCGCATCCGGATTCTGCTTCAGCGCTCCCGGAGATCTCGACTGCTTCTTTTGTGGCCTGTACTTGTAGTTGGGATACTCGATCATGTGCAGCTTCCTGAGCTGCTCAGCCTCACCAATATACGGCTGCTTGTCTTCTTTGCTCAGGAGCTGCCATCGTCTGCCCAGTTCTTTGGATATCTCGGCGTTATGCATGTCTGGCGTTCGCTCGCAAATCTTTCGCCGTTCCATTTGACTCCATACCATGAAGGCATTCATAGGTCTCTTGATATGGCCGGGAGAATGTTTCTTCGTCTGGAAAGAGAGAACAAATGAAACAATCATCAGCGAGAGGTCTACATGAATAATCTTGCAACTCTATCAGGCAACTATGGGATGTGGCCATGAACCCAGATCAGCTGATTTAGATTCCTGAACGCTACGCAAATTTTCCGAATCTGTTCTAAGTGTATGCAATCGCGGAAAGCACACCTCGATACATCGACAATATATGCACATTTATCGCTGTGCTAATATTTTTTAAACGAAAACACATTTCCCTATTATAAATTCATTTATATACATACAGATACAAATGGTAGATGAGTGTGTTCATTCCGTATTAACGTTCCTCAGATAAAGAGTTAGGAAATACAAATTCACCGACCAGGCACGCACACTAGCACAGTTATATACATGTATTTAGTATAGTGGCGTACATCCGTACCCTACATATATGCATTTTGTGTATCGCCTTGTCTATGTTCGTTTTTGTATGCATTTGTATCTGTACGAAAAATACGTATTCGCAGCGTTTGAAGTTCAATGTCCCTCGCCAAGGTTAATAAAACGCTCCTAAAAACGAAATATGTCTGTGCATATGTATCTGTAGGTGTTGCTGTGGCTCTGGCGCTGGCTGTTGCTGATCGAGTACACTCGTATGTATATATTTCACATTCGATTATTAAGATACACAGACAAGTGCACAAATGTACTCGCATGCATTCAATTAATAAGCAATTCCGCATCTGCTTCCTGGTTATGCTTTTGTGCGCTTAATCCTTTTAAATCACACCGAACGAAATCACAAAACGGAGCAGTGTCCGAGGAACAGTGTCGGGAATCATTTGGAATAGGTCATCATCGCTTCGCTATGATGCGTCCGTTGTCCGTCAACGTGTGGGCCGGCCAACGAGAGCAGCGCAGAGGAGAGGAGAGTAGAGAAGAGAAGAGAACATGGCCAATGTGAATAACCGTTTTATTCACACAAAAGAGAGACGGCAAAAACTACCTATTAATAGCGTTAACTTCGACCTTGCAGCAGTTCGTGTACCTCGTAAAGTTCATCCACACGATACCCTTGGCAGTAACGACGGCCTGAGCAGGGAGTAGCAGTAAGCAGTCAGCGGTGAGCAGTGAGCAGACTTTCCGCCGAAACGAGTGATGGAAACAACCGAAGAGAGCTGTGGGCACCGACGATGGGTTGGGATGGGATGGGGATGGATGCGACGATGCGATGCTCCATCGGCCATTGCCGTCGCCGTGGCTGTTGCTTTTGCTTTTGCTTTTGGTGTTGCCTTTGCCTTTGCCCTCGCCACAAGTCTGCTCCAATACTCACTCTCAATGTCGCCGTCAGACAGTTCAAGTCTAATAAGCAGCCCGACTCTCGTAGATCCATACACACACAAACGCCACATAACACAGACAGTGCACACAGATACATACACGCAAACATAAACAGAAGTTTACTGTGCAGACACCCGCATCCGTAAGATACTCGTACATATGTATGCGTGTATGTTTGTATGTATGCACACTCGAATAAAGTAAAAGTGATGAAATGGGGCTGGGAGGGATGGCTGGCTGGCTGGCTGGCTGTGCTGTTTGTTGGCTTTCGATTTTAACTGTTCTTCACTTGGGGGCGCCTGCACGCTTAGGGCCAAAGGTCATGTCGTCCAAATACCCCTACACTTACATGCCACATTAAATGCATATACAATATTTTTGCAAATAAAGATACAAATATGTATAAACAGAAGTCAACGACGTCTCACTAAATACATGTGTCCTTATGTGCGTCTTCTGTATGTGTAGAATATATGTACATATGTATATTTATCTACGTATAGTAAGTAATACGCAATTGAGTTTGGCGTTCGTGACGCTGCTTCTGCTGCTGCTACTGCTGCCGGAGTCATTTGCCTCCTCTCCCCCGAGTCCGCACTAATAACCGTAAAAAACAAACTGCTAAGCAAGGTCAATGCACCAAATGTTCTATGAGTTTGTACGCGTATAAGTACATGTGCATATGTTTGTATGTATTGTGTGTGCACACAATCGGACATTCCATTTCATTGCTAATATTATATATTCTTCACATGTTTGTATGTATTTCTATTTAATATGCATTTGGATAGCCTGGCATGAGGTTCTTTCTATGTAAGTTCTTGAAGGAGTTCTTGAATGGGGAAAATCTTGCTGGATCGGAACGGATTTTGATCAGGTTTAACACGTAGCAGCAGGAACATTTTGATAAGCTTTAAGGTGACGCTGCTATCATATGACACGAGTGTTGGTATCGGTCAGAGTGCAATATAATGATAGCTACTCTTAATCACGTACTACTCGTGGGTACAAACATACACATAAGCATACGTACACTCGCATTTATATATGTATTTCCTACACGACAAATGCAAGTGAGTCATAAGGGAAGCAAACCGCGGGTACAACCGCCCCGTTTAAATATGCATTGGTGCAAAAAAAACAAAAAAAAAACAGCAACAACAACAAAAAGAGACTACATTTCCAGTGAATCCATGTATTGATGGGATGGTAGCGCTACAAATATCTGTGGATACCATCACACGGGGTATGCATGCATTTGAAGAATCTGCCTTTGGCTTGAAATTGATCAGCTCGATGAGGAATACACACCAACACCATTCCGTCAGACTGTCCCCTGAAACTGGTATTTCATCATACGAACCACACAGCTGCATCCAAACATACAATACAATACATCAAAATAAATATAAAATACCATGATATTCGTACGCATTCGTATACGTATTCGGGTTACTAATCTCGTTTAATTGTTTTGCCATATTTGTGTTTGTAAACAAAGAAATAATCGAAAGAGAAATAGAATCTAATCTACAGGAAATCTTATCAGTCAAACTTTTTGTTGACCTGTCCAGTCTGGAAAAATAATGTACACACATACATATTTATGTACATATGTAGAATATATGTATTCAAATACGAGTTGCAGGGCTTTAGCCCAAAAAATATCAGCACAAATTTCATTAGGGCTTATCTATGTAAGTGTTCAGCTTAGAGACTGAACACCCGATTAGGTGTGTGCATCTTGGAATGGAACTTACTTGAGTTGCATCTGAATACGGGGTACTGGAATTTTGAGGCACCCGTGCGGATCCAAATACCACACTGGAGTCGAGGCCCATGTTGACTGTCATGTCGGGAGTGCCCTGCGCTGGAGATCTGTCGTTGTCCATGCTGGATCTTGATCTGGATGCAGCTGCAGCTGCAGCAACAGGCGCGGACACAGGCGCGGGCAGAGTCCCAGCCACAGCCGTCGTCGAATGAGTAATAGCTTGCCCGCTTTGTGTTGTACTCGTTGTCGTACGTATCCGTATCCGTATCGGCTGAGTTGGGGCTGAGTTTATTGGGGTGGTTGCAATACTAACAGTATCGGTGTTGGTGTCAAGAGTTCCCTGAGCTGGCTCAGCTATCATCTTTCCACTTGTATCTCAAATTTGAAGCGTGTGGGGCGCTGTGTCAGTGGGGTGCATCGCACACTTAGGTTAGTTTAATCCAAGTGCGTTTGTCTAGATCTGCAGCAGCATTCGCAGTAATGGATACACATTTATTGGTCTGGGCTGGCAGTGGTATTGGTTTGAGTTTTGATTTTGGTATTTCTTGGTGGTGCACTCGTCGTAGTTTTAGCTGTAGCTTAAGCTATAGATGGTGATAAGGGTCGGTTTCTTCAAATTTTATCGGGTGTTATTAAATAGAGCGGTTAGCATTTTAACCGCACATTACCCTGCGCTGTGCATGTTTATGCATGTAACTTATGTACGTATGTACGATTATGTATTCGCAGTCGACCGATCGTGCTGTTTCATTTAACAATATACTCGCGCACACACAGATACTCTGTCTTCTTTGATTGTGATTGTTAATGTGAATGTGTGTGCTCAAGGTGAAACTGGTTCCTCGATATTTATTTATTTTTTGTTTCCAAGACTCACGTTCGCTTCGCGTTGCGTCTGTGTAATGGGTTTATACTTATATATGTATATGTATTTGTATGTATGTATATATAAGTTTTTTTATGCACACTCTCAGCTGAGCATTATATTAATTTATACATAAATGCACTGTATTTAATAGATTGGATTGGTGGTCTACTACACATACACACACTAACACGCACGTACACTCACAGTTCGAGTGTTTATTTTACGTATTGCAGTTTTGTTGATTTGCTTAATTTTATTGAGGATATTCCTCAATGCTATCACGTTATCGTTGAATTTTTCTCACAGCTTCCAAGTGCAATGCAATGGCGAGATTAATTGCGCACTAGGATGTGGCTTGGGTTTATTTTATTCTAGCGTTTCGTTTCAATCACAATCCAATCCAATCTGATGTATGCACACACGTTCCTGTTCTGTTAATGTTAATGTTGCTTATGTAGTTACTCTCCTCCGCTGAGCTGCAGTTGAACTGCGTGATAGTCGGGCTAATCGCGGTCTGGTACTGTGCTCTGCTCCGTGTTGTTATTATTTGGTGTCTCGGTTCGGCTCTCTACGGCTACGGTTAGTGCTGCTGCTGCTGGGTGGTTAGGTTAGGGGACGACAGTGTCGCGACAGCCAGGGCATTTCTTGTCCTGGTCTGGTCAAAACATCGGCTGAAGCAAATAAGCCAGTACTCTGCGCCCGCACAAGACATACGAAGATACGAGTTCAACTGAAAATAACGAACGGCTGTTTATTTGAACGACTTGAATCCGTCGTACCCACACACTGCTATTTTCACGCATACGAGCACACAAAATACACACGCACACCATCACACACTGTGTGCATTTATTTTGCTAAGCAGCGAGAGCGAGAGAGCAGGTTTGTGTATTCTTTGTTGGTGTGCCCAATGACTCTCTCAACCAGACTTATTTCCTCTCAGCCCAGTGACGCATCGGAGTTGTTTTGGGGCTACGAAAACATTTTCCATACATTTGTGTGGCCACAGCTTTAGCGTTTGAGCATGTTAATGCTAAATAGTTAATATACTCAATTATGCTAGACTGGCCATCCTCAAATTGGCTCTCCAATATGTTCAAAATCAGAACTGCGTCTGATTAAACAGAGCAAACAACCTACCCTCGATTCGGCCCTGTTGTTGGCTATCAACTGTTGCACCAGCTGGTGTGAGTAACATGTGGGAGCGAGAGAGAGTGTTTGTGTGTGAGTGTATATAGAAAAAACGCGTATGAATCAGCTGTTTCGATGTGTATTAATCATATGGCGCACATAGTTACATACATTCATGCATACACAACCCCTCATACATACACACAAACAAGCGAGAATACTGACTGCGTAAAATCTGAATAATTCGTATTATACATCCATAGATTTGAATAAGAATGTATCTAATCACATATGTTTTTACATACATATGTCCATTTATTGATGTGGTGCTATGTGTGCAGATATATGTATGCAATTCAAGTTAATTATTAATGCACATAAACGTATAAATGCATGTCATATGTACATACGTACATAGATATTTACTTTTAAAAAGATCTAAGTACATACATACATTCTTGTATACATGTTCATGTACATATGTATGTGCATATGATTGTACATACATACGTGCATGCACATCCGAGAATGACGCGGCGGAACATGCACTTGCATTTTTTACAGCTTGCAGGTATGTATTTATGTATGTATGTACATACACATACAATCATCGGAAAATAAAACTATTTTTGGGATTTACTCGTGTTCGGACACGCGTGATTAATCATATCACGAATCAAGTCACGTTTACTTTTAAGTACGAAAAGTATGTATTATAAGGGCAGTTGCATGCATTCTCAATTATTATTGAATGAAATTCCTGAGAAGTGCATTTTTTAACAATTTTGCCCATCATTAATTGATACATATTGTTATTCTACGCACTTGGTTACCTAAGTGCATCCTTATACATGCACACATGTAAATATGCGAGCGTATGTACATATGTTGATATATACATTCATATGAATTTACGTACTTCACTTCCTGTATCGTGTGTAAATATGTACATATGTATATACTTTTATTAATCCCCATACATTCCACCAGAAAGACACTGCGACAAGCTATAAAAACATTGGGGGAAGGTGTGAGCGGGAGATATAGATATATGATCTAGCTTCACGTCAGAACAACGACAGGCTATACTTTCAAAGCATGTCCTTCTAATTTCAATAAAATCATGAAACAGCTGTCACCCATCTCCACAAATCAGAATAAATTTCAGAAAACTGGACGACTTCGTCGGGTGTACAATCTGTACATTCCCACAAAACATTGTTCAAGGTGACCAATCGATAATGTTATCGACAAACCTTCAGCTCTAGTGAAAAAGTATGGAACTATTCTTGTGTAAAACGTGTAAAATTATAAATATCTTCGTAACTGGACAATATATTTCACTGTGTATACGCAAAAGCAAAACCCTGCAAGTCTACAATTGATATAAAATATTTTTGAAACGGAACGGATGACAAATATACGTAACATTTCACAACATAGATGCACGATTTCATTCCATATTTAATTTGTTCATCGAGTAATCATGGATAAGTCTGCTACAAATTAAAGTTGGCTTTATACAATGCCACCCAAAACAAAACACAAGAAAATGGCTTTTCAAAAGGAATTCGACACACAGACTTGTGCTTTGAAGAATAGATGTCGAAATTTCACACCCTTATGGGAACGTTGCTTGACTATTTCCTCCTCTTTGTTCTTCGAATGATTGGAACCATGAGCTCCCCAATATACGAGCACTATCGATGCGCTGCCCCGTCGCGCCAGCATCAGCCGGGATCATTGTGGAAGGCTGACAGTATGCAGGAATCAGAGCCAGCACCTTCGCTTGAGCAGCGAACGGGTACGGAAAACCTGCTCCTGGACTCCCTGGAGCCAGAACCCTTGGCCAACATGCTCAACTCGCTGCAGCTTATGGCTATTAACGTTGTCAACCAAATGCAAACGGCCTTGAAGAAACGCGTTACGTCGAAGGCGGATCCAATCGCTACAATGCCAGGCCTCGACGCTTTTCATCCATGCGTGCCGTCGTCTTCTTGCTACTTTTTTATCGATCTGCGAAACACCACACCCCGCTTCATGGACTCTCAAGAAGAGTTCGGCAATAGCTCTAGTCATGTATCCAACGACAAGAACAATAATGCTGACGACACGGCAGATTCACCTGCCAAGAAGTCTATGCAGCGGCAGCGGAGTATTTCGGAATGCAGCGATAATAGTTTTGATATTTGCTTCGAGGACGATGACGAGAGTAGCATTCAGCCTACAGCATGCAGCGACGAAGACGATGATGAGGACTTCGAAAAATCCGAGGTGTGTGAGTGCAGCAACGACAGTTCGACAACCAACAAAAAGGTATGGAATCCACATAAGTGTGCAAGAGCTTGATGCTTATTATTGTCTCGTTGATAGGTGCGCTTCAACCTGAAGCCCGAGGTGCATGTCATGCTGGCCTGGGACTTTGCTTATCGGGCTGCGAGGAAGAGCGAGTGGCAAGTGATGGCTCGTGATCGTTTCAGATTTCAACAGCGGATACATCGGGTGGCTCCAATTCTAAATCCCATTCTGACTCCAAATCATAGAGAACAAGTCTACAAGGCTCGATTCCTCAATGTAGAATAATTCATTTTATATTTTGAATTAATATTTGATGTACATACATATTACAATTTAGCACGATAACGATTGCAGTTACGATTTCGTTTATTATTCACACTATTTAAGTGTAAAGTAATCGATGCAATCGCTGAGTTTGTGATTGACTTTTTCCAAGCCAAATAATATTCAACCTGTAATGGCCAGCACGTCAAACGAAATTTCATTTTGCTAATAGTTAGTACCTTAAGAAATTTGGATTTGTTGATAGAGGGATAAGATAATATTAAACAGCTAAATAAAATAAGTTTTAGACGTATTCGAGGTTGCCTTACTGTATATCTGGAAACCAAAAAATGTTCCGTTTCATATTTGTAGACATAAATCACATAAATCACCATTTCCTCAGTTAATCATTGATCAATTTTATAAGTAAACGACTTGCTGTGGACTTTTAATGGAGAACAGCAGGCTGATAAGCTCCGATAAGGGAATCGATTCTTGAATTTCATAAATGTTATCACTTCTTTCGGCAGATTTCTTCATTCATGAGCGCACAATTTACTTGGCCAATTGGTAAACTCCACCGGAAAATAGAAGCTTATGCTCTCTGACTTTACGCTGCAGAAAGTGCTTCAGCTCGTCTTGGGTAAACTCAACTCCTCCACTGTGTGAGGCAAAGAGTTTGAGCATCTGGTGGATTCGATCGATGGGCATGGAATCGAGATTCGTAAGCATGCCAACAATATAGGACCAAAACACCTAGAAATATTTCACACTAAATATAAATAACCATTTAAAATACAGTCGGGAGTACACCTACTTGAAGTTCTTCCTCCCTTTGATCACTGGCAGATGCCATGGCCGACTCCAAGTCTTCTTCGTCGGCCTCGGCCAGACTCATTTCCTCAAACTGCGACTTTTCTGTTTCCTTTTCCAGCAGTGTAAATACGCCCGGTGACGTTTCGGATATCAAGCCATGATTTTGCCAAAAACTTATGCGACGCCTGAGTGCCGATGCGGGAACTTTTGTGATTGAACTAAGTTCTTCAATGGCCCATTCACCTGTTGAGTTGGTTTACAGTAGATTTATGCTAATTATTTTCTATGTAATATTTCTTACTCTTGTTCTGGAAGTGGTATATGATCACGGCCAACGTTGGGCTCACCACCATGTCCAGTGTTCGGTCTCCAATTTCAATGACAATATTGACACGACCGGTCACCGTACGCCAGTTGAGAGTGCGGTTACCTTTGTACCCCTCATAGGCCTTTGTGTACTTCTTGAACTCATTTTCAATCTCCTCCGGCAGCTGAAGACTCTCCTTGTTAAAGGATGGCCAAAACTGGGCAGATATAATCAGGGAAGATATGTCAAACAATTGATCTAAAATAGCAATAATAATACTAATGAATCATTTAATTTCCTACACTATGTGTGCGTTGATTACTCACTTTCATTGACATTGCCATCGCCGTGAATGTGCGCGTTGATACGCTTTGAATCGGTCACGTCTTTCAGCATCACCTCGCAGCTATGCAAAAGCGATTCCCCAAAACGAATTTTCAACAGCTCTAGATTTCGAATTTCCTTCTCCGAATTAAAGTCAAGGTGTGCGAGCAGTCTGTCTGCCATCAAATTACGATATTCAGTCATAAATAGCTCTTTGCTTCCGTATATATCCACCACCATTGATATGATGTCAGCGGATCGCATTATCTTTGAGCTGTTGTACTTCATGAGATTAGCATCGATTCCAAATGGATCCGGCTCCCAGTTCTCCCAATTGCTGAACTCGTCGGGACCAGAGTCCTTGCCATCCTTGATTGACTCCCCCTTGGCCAGTTCTTCGGACAAGTCGGTTGGTCCCTCTTCTGTCAGGCCTGTTACGACGCGTCGCACTGTGTCGCTGCGTTTCCGCAGATAATCCTTGATCGGGGCTGTAACCATCTCTAGAATAACGCCCGATTGGTCCAGATGGCGAATAGCCTTAATGGCGGCAACGTATCCGGTTAATATATCCATCGTGTTAACACCAGGATGCAGAATTCTGGCTTCCAACGAGCTTCGCAGCGACTCCGTCAGGTAGACTCGCATATCAATTTTCTCCATGCAAATCTTCAAGTCGTCTATCGCTGGTATTGAATCTGGATAATCTACAGAACAAAGTTGGATGTGCGATTAAGAAAATAGTAAAAATAATAGACCCAGAAACGCACCAATGATAATACTGAAGAATTGGCCAATCACGCTCTGGGCAAATGTTTCGTACATATAATACGTAAGTTTGACTTTGAAGGATTGAACAGACGCGGGAACTTCTGCTTCCTTGGCATTATCTTTGGTCTGCCATTCTGTGAAAATGCTCTTCAACCAAGTCATTATGACATCCGCGAGCCACTGTAAAGGAAATCCCACAATTAGTACAACTTTAGTCTTCACTTGGAGTACTGCACGTGGCTTACTTTTTCCAGCTGCTTGAGGTGGCTTCTGTCAAAGATGCCCTGGCATGTGTCGTTTATATGCTCTTTGATTTTGAGCTTTATAAGCGACGTCAGAGCACTGCCAGTTAAACGATCGATCAGGTTCATCTCGAACAATTTCATGTTTGTCTTGTTCACCATTTCAGTAAGTCGCAGACAGCAGCACTGCTCCACGTCGAAATTGCAACCCACACACAGCAGCTCGTCGAATACCTCAGAGTCTGAAAATTATAAGCCATAAAGTTTATTCATTTTATTCGATATATGTTTGCACATACCGACTGTTGTTAAAGCAAGATGCGAAGCTTTAGTGTAGAGTTTAAAGTGAACCCAATAGAAGGCACCCACAACCACACTGAATGCTGGTGGCAACTGCGAAAGCAACGAATCACGTAGGTACGATTTTATGGAATCTTCGTGCAACAATTTCGCCGAGTTTAGGGCTGAACTATTTTCCGTGCCGATAAGATGTGCAAGTCGGGGTTTAACTTGCATTAAACTGTTGAAGCTAAAGTACAACTCATTGATAGCATCAATAAACTGGGAGAACAATTTGTTCTTATCCGGAAGAGCTTCTATGATCAGCGCTTGGTCTTTGATGCACGATTGCAGATCTGTTGGTACGCTGTCCCCATGGAAATGCTTCCAAAACTTGGGTGCAAGTACATTTCGAATCACCGACTGAATTTCCAGATCCAGAATTGCCGCAAAGGTCTCAATGCTGCCCACTTGTTGTAGGTGCCGGCGAACATTTTCGTACAGAGTATCTTCAACCGGCTCGGCAGCTCCAGGGATCTGTGAAAATGTGTTCTGCGAATAGTGAATATATAGATGCTCTCAATAGCAAACCTACCACTCCACCCAGAACTGGAAATATTTTCAGCACATCCTGCCACAAAGCACCAAAGTCGCACATCTTAATTTATTAAAAAATGTAAACAAACTTCCAATAGAATAGTGAACAAAGGAATCGATACTTCGATACCAATATCGATATAGCCTGCTGCGATAGAGGTGGGTGTCTCGTGTAAAAATGTAGATTTGCCAAGTTTCCTTAACTAATTATTTAAAGACATGTTAACTATATAGTGTATATATTATTTTAATGAAAACATCCCAGTCCATTTTGAAAAGTACATACATAAATCTTAAATGTTCATATGAAATACAGAGAAGAGGTATTTACACGCATAAAGTTACGGTTTTACAGAACCAGGAATAAATATTACGATAGGAATATTGTTAAATTGCAGAAATATTTATTTTTATTGTACTGTGTGTCACCCAACACACGCCCGTTTTAGCCAATAGAAATTGGTATGCCAATGGCTTTGTAACTTATTGAATATTTAAGAAACTATCGTATTTTCAAATGCGTCTGTTGATGCTTTTTCAAATGGTCGCTGCGTACGAAGCGGCGACAGCATTGAGGACAGGCATAGGGTTTCTCGCCCGTGTGCGTTCGTATATGCCGGTTAAGATCATCCTGACGTTTAAATCGCTTTTCACATTGCCGGCAGCGGAAGGGGCGATCCTGCACAAACTGAGGTATACCATAGGTACCGGGGCCATCCTGTGGCGGTAGTTGAGACAGTGTATTTACAATTTCGTCAGCAGGCTCGTACTTGACCTCAGGCTTGGAGTTAAGGAAAGATGGCAACTGGCTTTCAGGTAAAGGTGTCACAATCTGGTACTTGTCACTATGCTCGGGCCGTTCCAACTTAATTTTTAGTGGCTTGTGCTGATAATCAACTAAATCCGCCGGCTGCTGTTGTTGTCGGTCTATGTTCTGCTCTCCTGTGCCCAGCACAGCCATGAAGTGGAACCCCGACTCTGGCTCTGACGGCGGCTTCCTGGATGATTTTAACCGCACATTGTTGGGTATCGAACGCTTCGGAGTGGTGCTCTTCAGTTGTCGGTCATGCGTGGCCAGGTGCTTCGTTAGGTGATCACTTCGAGAGAACTTCTTTGTGCACTGCACACACTCGAAAGGCTTCTCACCTGTATGGGTGCGCAGGTGCCTATTGAGCTCGTCCGATCGGGTGAAACCCTTTCCACACTTGGGCTCACTGCAGACGAACGGCTTGATGCCCGTATGCCATGTGAGATGGGAGCGCAGGTGAGAACTTTTTCCATAGCTTTTCGTGCAGTTGTCGTAGGGACAAACGAACTTGCGTTTGGGGTCAGCCGCATGCGGAGTAGCTAGTAGTTTGATGGTGGGCATTATGCGAATTTTCGAATTCCCGGCGAATTGTGAACCATCTCCGTTTAAATTCCGGTTATTCTCAGTCTCAACTCCGTTGTGTACATTTTCGAGATCCAATGGCGACGAATCATGCTTCAGATCGCCAAAAATGGTCGAGGCTCTAAGTATTATATCTGACGCCTGTTCATTTAAATGTGTGCGGCCCGCTAGTGTCGGGAACGCTGGTGGTGGTTTCATGGATTCTATAGGCGTTAGCGTTGATGTCGTCAGCATTTGGGGTGTGGGCGTGTTTGCTACTTGTGACATTACGCTCACGTTTGAGTTTCCTTAAAAGCCGAAATGTGTTCCGTATCCAGTCTGCAATTTCAAACAAAAACACATACATACACACAATCAAATACGGAACGCAGTCTAATTATGTATTTACTTTACCCTATTTATATTTGTCCAAAATGCATGTAAAGGAAATTCTGCTCAGTGGGCGTCGGCCGTATTTATCAGTAAAATGGTCCCTCGTCACCATAGCCAGCACGGATAACAATTTAGTTTCGTATTGCATGTGCCGTACACATTTTTTATAGATTAAAACCAGCAGAAACAAATATTCTATACAACTGTAGTCGTATTTTCTTCGTGCTTTATTTTATTTATATACACTGCAGAACATTTATTTTATTGCGATGAAAAATATCGGATGGACACAAAAACCTATTTGGCTGACACTTATTGGTGGCACTCTGACGAAAAACTATCGTTGTTCAGTCTAGACGAAGTCTCTGTCTATCTTAGAAAACGATTACTATCTACACTGGCGATGCAGACACTACACTTTGACCATGACGTGACTTGTTGGTTTGCTTTTGTTTGTATCTGATTGCTAGGCTAAATTGAAAATTTACAAGATCAGACTAGATATTGAAACATTTGCAATTAACGTTATCGATAGCTATCGCAGAACTTTGTTGCGTTGAAGGAAAATCAAAACATTCATGGATTAATTAATTTTTTAAATATCTAAGGATGTCTGCAAACACTGAAGATGTCGGTGACCCTCCCCCAACTAAAAGACGTGTGCGACGTAGGCCAACCATATGGACCCGCGAGAAGATTTCCAAACTAATCCAGCTATACCGAAAATCGGATTGTTTATGGAACCACTACTCGGAGTTGTATAAAAACAAAGACTGCCGTTCTAGGACAATTGAACACATTTGTTCCTCCCTTGGGATCACCAAAAACGAGTATGGGAAGAAAATACACAACTTGAGAAACCAATTCAATTCAGAACTGAAAAAGTTGGAGCGTCGCCAGGAGGAGACTGGTGCCGACAAGACGTGTCGCTGGGAGCATTTCAAATCTCTAATGTTCTTGCGGCCCATCATTGAACCGAGGCCTGGATATCAGCCAAATGGCCCAACGCAATGCAAGGTATGAGAAGAAACCTCACTAAAGTTGTTTCCTTGTTAATTATTCTTTGACTATTTTAGAAATTGAGTGCAAAACTGGAGGGCGACCAAGAGGAGGACCCATCGTCAGTACCGAAATGCCAACTCGAGATCGCGGAAAAGCGGGTTACTGTTGCGGACGAAAGTATGGCGCCGCAAATTCAAAGTATATGTGAAAAAATTGAACCGTCTGTTCCTGAATATGTCTCCGCCATCCTATCTGCATCGACAACATGCACTAGCTCTGCTGCCACTCGACAAGTGGATGCGGCAGGAGCAGTGTCTGTTCCGGCACAAGTCAGCATTGGCCGGGACCAGTGGGACTCGTTCGGTGAATTAATAGCCAATGAGTTTCGCAACTTGAATTCGGACATTTCCCGCAAGAGACTTAAGCGGAGAATAATGCAAGTTATGCTGGAAGTCGGTGAAGAGGACGACAGAGAACAGGCTGGACCCAATAGTTGATGTACACGTAAGCATATTATTACACAAATAAATAGGTTACAAAATTTCTATAGATAATTAGGTTGCATTTTATTCGATAAATGAGAGTGGGTACATAAATCCAACATGGCTTAATATTATTAAAGCATCAAAACGTGGAAAACGGCATTGTGCTCATGGGAATTCATTTAAATAGCTGAGGAAAAACATAAATTAGTCGACCAAATGGTTAACAAGCTCTTTCTAGCTATGGTGGAACATACATTTGTCAGAACTTTAAGTCCTTAATTGCCTGGGGCAGATCGGGTAGCTTTATATCTTTAATCTGTTGAGGAATGTTCATACTCTTGACGGCGCTCACAGCTCGAGCAGGTGCTGCTGAAATGCCCGCCTCCTGTTTAACAATCTTATTCTGCTCCTCAATACGAGCCATTATATCATTCATATTTGTTTGGAGCACCATCCCACCCATGACCAATTCCGACAAAATATGGTGCACTGCATCAGCATGAAATATGAGATCCAGTTCACAAACATTCTCAAAGCACTTGTCCAGTGTTTCGACAAACACTTGAATCAAGTCCAGAATGCCCAGTTCGCTTTCTGAGGAGTCCACACAGAAGACAAAGTACAAGGTGGCATAGTGGCGGTATATCAGCTTATAGTCAGATCCGCCAATCAAGCTATGGGTAAACAGAAGTGTCAGTTACATTGCTACATACATATGTGTGTCCACTGAGGACTTTGCTGTTTATAAAACTCACCTCCCGCCTTCTAGAAAGTTGCAAACATTATCGTCCCTCTTGGAGACAAGCTGAAACGTCTCTTTTATTATTTGTTGCTGGAGGTTTTCATCCTGGAACATAAAATATAATGTATAAAAACTGCACTCGTCATACGTGTCGCCACTCATACGGCATACACCAATATCGCGGTATAGTAAATTCCACAGAGGATATACTTACGAAATATTGATAGAATTTGGACAGCCTGGGCTTCCCATGGTTGTTAAATACAAGAATAGCTTTAATCATTTCCAATTGTTTGTTAAATCCGGAAACAATAAGTTGACCAACCAGCTGTTTTCGTTCGCAGTTATCGATACTTTCGATATTTGTATAATTTGTTTGTTCGACTATACTTCTCCTCTAGTCTGAAAATGAATAGCAAGAGACAATAGATTGTTGTTCCATACAACTTAATATTTATTGGTATGAATTAAATCAGTTGCCATTCGATCCACTACAAATCGAAACCAAAGCATATATTTGCATATCCGCTTGCACTGCATTTCCCTTACCTTGAAGTTCACTGGAACTCGACAACAAGTAACAGGTGCGTGTTATCGCCATCACTAATGCCTCCAACGTGGATGCTCTGTTTTGTTTATGCCGAATTTATGAATGATATGATTGATTTGAGATGAATGTGTTGACAAATGTAAAGTTTACATGCAGGTTAGATTAAGGTTAAGCACCTTTCTGGGCCTCTGTCAGTAAATTGTCAATTGTACATTTGCAGGGTGAGCTCCGTATTGAACAAAGACGTGAAGCAGTATGGCAAGCAATACATGTTTGATCAGAACGATGATACCTCTTGGAGCTCAGATGAGGTATTATATAGTTTGCATCTTGTGACAGGACAGCTATACTTACCATATTCTCTTTGCCACACCCAACTGCGGCTAGGGAACCCCTCAATGGATTATCATGACGTTGGATGAGCCACAAAATGTCACTGGACTGTGCTTACAGTTTCAGGGCGGATTTTCTGGTCAGCAGTTTACGGCTTTGGTGTATTCACACTCCCGCGAAGGGGAACCCACCCACCAAGAGACATTTTATCCCGAAGATATCAACTCTCTCCAGCGATTTGACTTTAAAGATGCATCCCTCACCAAAAGTTGTTCAAAGATAAAACTTGTGTTTGAGTCTATGTCAGATCTGTTTGGCAGAATCATTGTTTACAATTTTCAAATACTTAGCTAATAATAATAATCAGTAAGTGGAACTTGGCATACAATCGATTTGTTTTCACCCCAAAATGCTGAGTCACAATTACCCAGAGAAAACTGCTATCAATTTCATAATTCGGTTCGGTAAATGGTCAGGGATACTGGAATGGTCAGGGTACTATCTATTCTGCCATTCGACTTTGGGGTTAAGTTCAAGGGAAGTTTTCAAATGAATTTTCTGATTAGCATGCCACCTGCGTGCTTCCGAACTTGGCATGTGCCACTTCGATCGAAGTCTTATCCGCACATCAAACGAGAGAATCGCGTGATAAGAAAATAAATTGAATTAATGAAATCGAAAATCATCATGTTTAAAGCACCAAAACCATTTGTTTATTTGTCCAAAACCATAAAAAGAATTTAAGCAATAATCGAATATTTTGAAAGCTTTGGTTAATTATGCAGCTACAGAGATTTCCAGACGCGGGCAATTGGGTATACCACACTCGAGGTCGGGGCACGTGACCAGGTGGCCACAGCTCTCACTGTTGCAGAACATGCAGCCGTTCGGGGACAGCGGCACATTTGTCGACAGATCAACCATTTGCCACACCTTCTTCAAGTCCGTAACTAAAGCGTTCATCATTTCAAAGGTATGGAAAGGTGTCGGAGCTAGACGAAGTTTCTCCTGGCCGCGGGCCACCGTTGGATAGTTGATGGATTGTAGGTAGTGTCCGAATTGTTCGATTAGCATATTTGAGATTTGGGTGCACTTCAACGGGTCTCCAAGTTTAATTGGGATAATGTGACTGGGCGTGTCCTCGACTGGAAAACCTGAAACCAAACAAAAAACACCCGAAAACAAAGAATTAGATCATATCAAATGCAATAAGATATCTTTAAACTTTGCAATGCCTTTTGCTATTCATAGCAAGAAACATTTAAAAATAGATTACTTAGAAAATAACCTTCAAGTTACATAAAGCGTGAAATTACACGTACCTTCTCGTTTGAGCAAGTTCTTTAGGTAAGAAACGTTTCGTTGGTGCAAGCTGCGAAGATGACGGCCTTCATCCGAGGCTAGAACATTGACAGCTTCCAGAGCGCCACAAAGCACCGTGGGTGGCAACGAGGTGGTGAAAATAAATCCAGCCGCGTACGAGCGTATCATATCGACAAGCTTATCGGACCCTGCTATGTAACCTCCAATGTTACCAAACGCCTTGCCCAAGGTTCCAGATATGATGTCCATTTTGTGCAGCACTCCGTCTTGTTCACCAACCCCGGCTCCATGATCCCCATACAGTCCCACCGCGTGCACCTCATCGATGAACGTAATGGCACCGTATTCGTGGGCAACATCGAGCAGCTCTTCAAGTGGGCATATCGCCCCTGTCATGGAATGTACGGTCTCAAATGCTACTATCTTGGGAGTGCTTTTGTCCAATTGTTTTAAAAGAATGCGCAGATGGTCAACATCGTTGTGCCGGAATATATGCTTTGGGACTCCGCTGTTCCGTATTCCCTGAATCATTGAGGCATGATTGCCAGCGTCCGAGAAGATGTGACATCCAGGCAGCAGCTTGGCGAGCGTGAACAGCGTCGAATCGTTGGCCACAAAGCACGAAGTGAACAGCAAGGCTGCCTCCTTTTGATGAAGATCCGCCAGTTTCTCCTCGAGTCGTTCATGATGCAAGGAGTTGCCCGAGATGTTCCGAGTTCCTCCTGCGCCAGAGCCATGCATATCCAGAGCATCCTGCACAGCCCTCTTCACACTGGGATGTGCGGACATGCCCAAGTAGTCGTTGGAGCACCACACAGTAATGGGGCGCTCCGACCGGTCGGAATATTCGAGTGCATGGGGGAACAGCCCATCGCCAGCTAATCGGTTCACCTTCTTGAACACGCGATAGGAGTGGTCTCGTTTCTTCTTCATGATTTGGTCATTGAAGAACTTTTCGTAGGGAAAAGTGTCCCTAGCAGAGGCGACTGCCCTCTCGTTCTCATGGCCCCCCTTTACATCACTCCCAAAGCGACTACTCTCGGTAGAGTACTCTCGCTTGGATAACGGCCTTGTAACAGTTGCGGCATATGGCAATGAGGCGACAAGAGAAAGTTTTTTCTCACTTCCACTCCCACTCAACGTTTTGCCCACCACGGGGCAGTACATTCCATATGACTGGCACAGCACCTCCGCATAATTGCGGACGAAGTTGGTAGTAAAGCGGTTTAAGAACGGACACTGCATGACGAAGCACTTCTCCGAACCTACTTTATTGAACTTTGAAAGTAAATTAATTCAATTCAAATTATGCAAGACAGTCGAAACTACCTAAACACCTGAGCGCAGGGTGACCGCGGAATTATCGATCAAATATACTATCTAAACCTCAAGAACATACCGCATATACCTTCAAAGTTTCAAAATATACTTTAAATATACTGATGTGTTTATTAAATGAAATCGTTTTCCTCGATTTTGATATTCTATTTAATATAGCTAGCTAGTTTGGACTTTCAGCAGTAAAGCTATTATTTTATCCGATTCCTCAGTGAATTCTCCACAAGGCAAGCACTATTTTATATGTTCCTTTTATTGGATTGTTTACAAAACAAGGTTACAACTGAAAGCTAAATTAGATTACAACGTTAGTTGAACAACTTGTGTATATCGCTTTATTGCTTAAAAGCTTTAAACTAATTCAATTTCACAAACGTTTCATCATCGACAATGGTAAAGTTGTCCTCGCGGAAATGCAGCAAGTTGTCGTTGAAGCATTTGCTGCTTTCATTGTGTAATTTTGTCATGACAGGTTTGATATTCTTCACTCCTGCGGTTTCCGCCAAGTCTGTGAAATAGTCAATCTAAAAGCAGAAGAGTTCAAATCAATCTTTGACTCTTTAGAGATCTTTAGGCATTCACCTGTTTTGGTCCCAGCATGTGTGCATGTCGTTTTCTGTAGCCGTCTGCCCAAAGCTTGGACATTGCCGTTTGTGTTTCCTTTAGCATTTCCTCTCTGGATGGCAGCTGATTGGATCCGTTATAGTAGCTCAAAATAAATCGGGCCTGAATGTCCATCATTTGTGCAGCACAAACGTAGAATGGCAGACCAATTAGTGCCATTGTTGGATTTCTGATATTAATGCACTGCTTGTAGAGGTCTTGAACATAGTTTTCCTCAACATAGATGCCAGAGTCTACTGTCAGAAACGGAAAAGCAAACTTATATCCAGTGCAGAAGAAGATGGTGTCAAATTCCTCGTAAGATCCGTCCACAAAAAAAGCGCCCTTCTCGTCCAGCTCTTTCACATCCGGTTTCTGATGCACATTCTCATAGAATTTTGTCTGTCCAATATCCTTTAAATGGTGACTCAGAGTGACTCTCGTAGCAGATCTCGATATTATATTGGACAGATCCATGCCACTTGGGCCAGCTCCGATAACTAGTACAGTTTTATCTATAAGTAAATAAGTTATTTCGATTTAGTTTTGAGGGCTAAATAGCTGAAGGATAACTTGCCCTTGAAGACTCCACTGGTTCTGTAGTCGTGACTGTGCAAAAAGTCGCCCTGAAAGCGATCCATATTCGGAATCCTTATGTAGTTTGGCGTATGGTAATGTCCGTTGGCCACCATGAGCTTATCGAAGTATTTGAATTCTATTTGGTTAGTGAGCAGATCTTTGACAAGAACCTGCCACTTTTTATTCTTGTGTAGAACTCGAATAACATAGCTATTAAATCGGATGTACTGCTTTAGCCCAAAGTGCTCCGCATATTGATTTAAAAAATCACAAATCTCATCTGATCGCACATAGGAAACGTCGTTTTTGGGAATTTCAAAGTCCGGAAAGCCCATCACTTCTTTCGGCAAATTAGTTCTGTACAAACAGATGCAAATATTTATATTTTAACCATAGGAAATTGATGTAAACGTTCTTACCGCAAATTCTCGTACATACTGGAATGAACATCAATGCCATTTTTGACTCCGGTTTCCTGGTTGTACACCCATGTACCCCCGATTTGGTCAGAGAGTTCAAAGACGGTTACTTGAAACCCATGCTCAATGCCGTGCCTTGCACAGCAAAGTCCCGCCGTACCCGCACCAATTATACATAAGCTCATTATTGTATTACAGATTAATTAATTGTTTCTATGGGCGATACAACGATCCGATCTCGCTCTCGCTCTCTACCGTCTGATTGATTTAACGAAACTGAACTCGAATCGAGAATGAACAATCAAGAGCTTTATGGCTTCCCTTGTTTTGCATACTCTCAAAGCAAATGGGTGGATTATAAATCTGATTAATCTTGATTCATTTTCAATATTTCTCATATGTTGCTTTTGACTTGTTGGCACATATTTTAGTTTTTTAAAAGAGGGTCCAAACTTTCGTTGCACTTTCAATATACTTTCTGAAGTGTATCTGCCGTTCGGCATGCTTCAAGGCTCCGCTTTTATTTATTTTACTGATTGCTAATATTTCACTGATAGCAGTGTGAGCATAAAACAATCTTAGCTACTTACTAAGGACAGTACATACACAAATATTTACCTATGTACATATGTATGTACATTCAGATTTATGCCCGCAGAGTACAACGGTAAGTACATACATATATTTTTCTATAAAAACTACAAATAAAATCCGCA